TTCAAATCTGAATGTAATTAGTACAGAACATGTTATAGCAACCATTGCTGAATATATACTTCAATTTGATACAACAGTAAATGACGAAATAGAAAAAAGAGAATTTATTTAATTATTTTAATTTTCTCCTAAGAAATTAAATGATGAAAAACGAATTAATTATGAACGTAATATACAAGATGCACTAGCTGTACTTCCTAAATTAAAAACAGGAATGGATGTTAATTTAAAATTTAATGGGTAATTAAAAGAAAAGGAAATAATATTATATAGTTTAGCTATTTTTTTTTTTTTAGTGTAGATAAATTTGAATATACGCCAGAATGTATTATATTTGATTTACTTGGTATACAATTACTTCATGGATGGGTTGTTGATCCACAAGATAAAGAATTACAAAAAATAATTCAATCAAATGCTTTAAGTTATAATCAATTAATTGAAAAAATAATTCCACAAACTGATGGAAATCTTTCTCGAGAAAGTAAAAATGTTGCTTTTTTTTCTTATGTAAATAAAATGAATTCTTAAAGGTTTATTAATTCAACAATTTCTTGAAGAAAATCGTTCACAATTAACACATTATGGTATATTACAATTAAATACAATAATGGTTGATAATCAATTAGCTGTTTTATTTCGTAATAATCATTTTAATACAATATGGAAAAATAAAGTATATGATTTATTTTTTATATTGATACTCATATAAATGATTCTGTATCTTTTACAAATAGGATATGTATGTTACCCTTAGGATAATTTTTGTTTTTTACTATACTATTTAGAATCAATTATTTTTACTTGTTTCTGATCAAGGTTATCTAAATCATCCATCAATTGTTTTCGAAACATTGACTGATATTGATAATAATAGTACATTTACTAATGGTTATGGTGACATATGGCAAAAATCAGTGCCGGTTGATACAACACGAGAGTTTGTTCTTATTGATATTAGAAAATTTTCATTTTCTTTTTTAATATTTTCTTTAGTCGTGATTTAGCAATTGCAATGCATAAACAACAACAACGACAATATCGTGAAGAACAATTATATCAGCAACAACAACAGCATTCACAGAGATATTATCATGAAGAAAATTCAAATAAATCCAGAAAAAAACAGAGACATCCATCTTATGACGATGATCAAGATTGTGCATGTATTTTATCATAAGCAGTTTCCTTTTTAAATTTTTTTTTCATACGTTATTATTATATAGTTAGAAAAGAAAGAGTTATAAATTTAATATACAATAAATACTGATATAGTTTTATTTACAAAGATGTTCAAATTCATTAGGAAACATATAATAGGATGATGATGATGTTGTTGAACTACGACTATTTGTTGTTGGATATATATTAAGTGGTGTATTTAATATTATTGATGTATCTGTACATCTTGATTTAACATCACTTGGTGTGCTACTAATTGTTGATATACGATTTGATATAAATCGATTATGTTCGAATAGAAGTGGTGATGCAGCTGGTAAAGGTACTTGAACAATAGACATTTTTTGTTTTCGACGTTGTCTTCTACGACGAATGGATGTTAAACATTGACAAACCATGACAAAAAGAAGTAAAGTTATAGCAAGAAATATACCAATCGTACATATTTGTAAGAAAAACCATTTTTCAGGAAGATAATTATTTGATGAATGAAAAATTAAATCATTTGATGTTTGAGATAATGATGATGATTCGAGAGTACAACAGTAACGATCTGTTTCAGTACCACAACAAATTCGAGAAGATGAACAATCAAAACCTGAAAATAATATTTATTACATAATAAAATTTATAAATATCTATTACCATTGTTCCATATTCCATATCGATCGAGAAAACCAGGACACGATGTAGTTATCATACTTGTTATTAAGAATAAATATATATATGAACGAAGGTTAGTTGCAGACGTTGTTCGTTATTTTTTCTATTACTATCAAAATGTTCTGTCTGTCATCAGACAAGAAGACGTAGCAATAATAAAAGTAGCTCGTCTTTCTTATTCTATCAAATCAGATAAGTGAAAGAAGAAAAAGAAAAGCATCATTTTCTCTAAGAAGAAGAAGAAGGAAAAGATTAATCATGAGTAGTATAGACGATGATATCGTTCAGTCTCTCGTCTCAACTGAACGAAAGTCGATTCCATCTGGCAGTAGAGATAATTGATGAGCTGGGACATATATATAAAGATAGGAAAAAGTTAAAGAGCATTTGCACTGTTTATAGAATCATCATCACACTAAAAAAGACAGACATGTCAGTTTACATTTTTCAATTAAATATCGACAAAAACCAGGCAATAGATGATCGACAAAGAGACAACTTATGTTAAGCATCATTAACTATGTTGACTAAAGAATCTTTTGCAATATATAGCTACAGGATATATATATATGTATATTCTTTTCATAGTCAAAGAAAAAAATTCTCAAATGATAAGATATTTGGTATCTTTTAGAACATTACTCTATAATAATATTGATCTTTTGTTATCACACAATCATTCACTATATCGTCTTCTTTTTTTTTACAATATTTTTCTTTGTTTACATAACTATCACTTTCACACATTAGAAACAACAGAAATAATTTATGTATGTTGACGTCTCGTCAGTTTCCATCTTGTTTTATGTAACTTATCATTGCTTTTATTGTTTATTTATTGTACAACATTCGTCAAATTGATGTATATATATTTAGAACAATGTTACTTGATGATAATTATTATAAGATCTTTTTCTCATAACAATCATTATTTCTTTATAAACATATTAATAACAATTAATTAGAGATATTTTTTAATAAAATCTAGTTTAGCTGAAATTGATGAATAAACACCAGGTTGGATTGTTTGTGTATTAGCACCATGTGATGTAACACCAAATAAGTACCAACGATTATCTGTTTTGTTAAGTATCATTAATGGACCACCGCTATCGCCTTCTATAAATAAATAAAAAAAAAAAGAATACTGTTAGCAAATCTCAAGCATTGAAAGTTGAACTAAAAAATTATGTAATACATTTTGCTCAACATACATAAATAGTGCTCGTCGGAGGATTCGCTTACCTCTTCACATTTATTGGAAAAATCCGTTCTCGATATTTTTATGACCTCGGATTCGAAGTGCCCGCATCGGAATACCTCCAGAAATGTTTTTTTCGAAAAATCGGTTTTCGATGTTTTTTTGACCCTGCGGACACGCAATCAATTTATTTTTTACTGGACACTTCTCTACGAGAATTAAAATCTTTTCTTACCTCTTGAATCAACATTATCATGTGTATTTGTTGCACATATTTCATCTCTTTCATCGAATGTTCCATAAATTTGTTTACAATAATCATTTGATTTTATATAAACTAAACCTTGTTTTAAATGAAATGATCCAAATGTATTTAAATCACCTGATGGATATTTTCCACCCCATCCAACAATAAAAGCTGTTGTTTCAGGTTTTAATTCTTGATTTTGTTGAGCTGGTAAACATATAGAATTAATCATTTCTGAACGTTCAAGTACTTTTTTTAATTTTATTATTGCTATATCATTATCACAACATGATATATAATTAGGATGAACAATAACTTGAGATGCTGCATAATAATTAAATAGATTGAGACGACCAAATAGATTTGCAGCACCAGCAATCACTGTGATATATTCAGGTTGATCAATGATACAATGTGCAGCTAGAAGCGAAAAAAGAAAAAGAAAAACTTTTAATTAAGATTATCTTTTTTTACCGGTAACAATTGTATCGGGTCCAATAATTGCTCCACCACATGATTTTAATGATTTAAGATTAACAACATTAACCATCCATGGAAAAGAATGATCAACTGCTGATAAACCACCAGTTACACGTGGTGTATCCATTTTAGCTGGTAGAATTGGAGGTATATCTGATGTACCACAATCGAATACACGTTGAGATTTATTGGGATCAAATGTATGTTGAACTTTATTCCAAATCCAATTAAAAAAATGATTTTCAACTGGTTGTACACATATTATTAACCATAGAAAATATACAATGATCGAGAATTTCATTGTAACAAACCGAATGTATCTTTTATTTCAACTGAACTTTATGTATGTATGCATGTAAAATATACGCACAATTTATTCTTTCTCACTTCGAGCTGATTTAAAATGTTACTTTTTTTTTCTTTTTCTGTTTCTTTATCGTTCTGTTTATCCTTCATATACATATATATGTATATATAGACAGATTGTATCTTAGTAGCATTGTTCGATATGTGAATGAACAAAGAACAAACATTCAAGGCAAATGATACACTTGAACTTTTCTTTTGCTACTATAATTGCATAAATGTGTTCAAACTTAAACAATGAGTAATATAAAAATATATTCATATTAGAGAATGAAGAAATTATCGATATTGATAATTAGATGTGACTGTGTGATAGATTTATGCATATAGATAAAGAAATACATTTGCTTTATCAAACTCTAATATAAAGCACGTTCAGGGAAATGCTAATGTTCAGTTGATTGATTATCAAGTGCATTTCTTTCCTATATCCATATTCACATAATGGAAGTTATAAGTAATTTTTTTATGTACTATTCAGATAAAAATTTTATAGATAATATCGGAAAATGAACATCAGTTGAATCGTATGAATGATATACAAAATACATATTAATTAATGAAATAATAGCGAGATACAATGAGATAGATAGAAAGAAAATTCGTGATATGCTCCACTATATGTTTCACATAAGTTTTCTCTTTCGTTTATGCTGATCATTTGTTGATCATCGGATGTACCTGTACCATCTGTATTCATCATCTTTATCTAAAACATATATAACATTGATGGAATTTTGATTTATTTCTTTGAGTGATGGTACACCGGTGTCTGGTGTTATCTATATATAATAAAAAAATGAACAAAAAAGACAAGTAAAGTATTAAGAATCATTTGAGCCGAATAAAAGAAAAATGTATTTATGTGTTTGTTGAATTATTTAAACGCTTCTTCCAAAACCATTTTTGATATTGATTTGTTGCTTCACAATTTGACATAAACACATCTTTATCATTTCCTTGTGATAATTCAACACAAAAACCTGATGCATGTCTCAACATATCATCCTAAAATCAAAAAAAAATGTTTATTCATTTCTTTTCATTATTGTTCTACTAAATCAAATCAATGTACTTCATATTTCCACATTTGATTTCCTTGCTCTGAATGACAAGTGAATGAGACAACTTTTCCTGGTTTCTTTAATTCACCTTGTCCACCAGCATAATCTAAACATTTTTCTTCGCGACGAATTTCGAATGTTTTTGACATAAGAAAATATTGATTTCCACCTTGACCATGACATGGATAACCAATAATAGATTTATCACCATCTTCAAGTTCTTGTGAATCAATGCACACACTTGTTTTTGCACGACTTCGAATCTTAAATCAATAAAAAATAACTGAGTATTTTCTTTTTTCTTTTGATAAGAAAAAAAAATACGTTACCTCACCAAAATATAAACTTTCACCTGGAATAAACTGTTCAGGATAGACATTCTCAAGAAACCATTTGAATGATTTACACTGAAGACGCTCACGAATTTTGATTCGATCAGATACATCACCATAATCACCCTGAAA